TTAAAAAGCTGTAGGCTCAGTTCCTGAGCTATATTTTCAATGTCTCCCTTCCTGTCTAAACACTGAAGCTGGGGTGGTGTAACTTAGCTCAGTCAGCGCAACTACTTTGGTTTCATGTGCCTTCATAGAGGCATCAGAGAAGACAACAGCTCATTTCAAGGCTTGTGCCTAAAAACATTTTCCTCACTCAGGACTTACATGGAAATGACTGAATCCATCATCATTATGGATGATTTTGTAGTCGAGCCCTTTAGGTACACGATGGCCTAGTTCACTTTGTGTGTTACTTCAGGTTTTAAACCAACAGTGCAATTACACTGGTGAATCTTACAACATTTTTGTATGCTGGGGTATATTACACAGCGATCTAGAGTGAACAGAAATACAGCTATCCCAGGGTACCTGCAACCAAGAAATGCTATTACAGTGGGTTACCATTAAGTGGCAAGAGAGCAGGTATTAAATAACCTATTTCCCCTGGGCAAATGGCTAGCCCAGGATAAGCTTGTGGACAGGTGACATGTATACAGGTGCAACATACCACAGTTTATCCCTATTTTTTTTTGGAATAACTCTACACTATATCTGAAGACGTTACACTTGTGTAGACCTGCACATCATCTGTCTACTCTTTTAAACCAGAGGAACCATGTTCTATGTCCAGGCCCTGAGTAGCACAGGGTGGGTTGATTATGTACACAAGAGCTACGGAAAGATATATGAGCTTAGATTCATAAGAAGGTTGGGAGACAGGATCTGTGTTTGTGCAGTGCCAAACACAAGGTGCTCCTACAGACTGCTGCAAAACAGACCAGTAACAAATCAGCGATAATCATCCCCACCAGCCAGCCACTTACTTTGGACACTTAAAAGCAAGAAAAAAGAAGACCTATGGCTTTGGCAGGAAAAAGGAAGTTAGATATGAAAGTCTGAAATGAGCCCAATGCCCTTTCTTGGTGGCACAGTTATCTTCCCTTTTAAATTCTCTGCTCAAAATATAGAGATGAAAATACAATGTTCAACGGTTGTAAATATTAAGAAAACACATCCGCTTTTTTGTTTTGTCTTCTCCACATTAACACACACAAAAGCAAAAAAAAGATCTAGAACAACACGACAACGACAACAGGAACAAAAAAGAAATAGAGAAATATATTGTTTGCATTTCTGTACGTCACAAATGAAAGGAAAATAAAGAAATCCCAAAATAAAGAAATAAAGGAAACTGAACAAAGAAAAAGCACGTTTCGTTTCCCTTCCCTCCCCCTCTTCCCTGCTTCTGCTGAGCAAGAAATGGAATTGTATATTACCGTTTTTCAAATGGGAGGCTAAAGAAAAACACAGATGGGATTAAAAAGAAAAAAAAAGAGAGAGAAAGAGAGAGTTGTTGGAGAAAAGCACCACCAGCGCCTGTTAACAAAAGGAACTTGTGTTTATTCAGCAGTGTCTCTGACATGATCGGGCAGGAATGGAGGCACACACAGTGGCTGAGTGCTTTGATTTTCTTTTTTAATCTCCAAATCATTAGCAAAACAATGTGCTCAGCCATTTGCTAGATCCATGGGCGACCTTTGACCTGGTGCCAGGATCTCTGGGAGGGGCCATAGAGCAAGACCAACACAAATCGATCAAATCGCCATGGATTAATGAAGAGGTGGGTGTGTGGGCAGCAGGAGAATCAGAATCAAAATAAACAATATTAAAAACACAATAAAGAAGAAATCAAAGAGAAGCTACGGGAATTGGGCTGCAGCATGGAAGTCTCTGGATTGGGAACTCATGATTGTTTGTGGGAACTACCTTCAAAAGCTAGAGGGGTTTGAGAGAGGGGAATGGAGAAGGAATGGGAAATGATCAAATCTGGTTGCTGAAATATACTAATGGAAGGCACTGCCTTAGGGCTCTGCGAGGCTATTGTATGCTGACTCCCAACCCCAGGGTAGTGTGCAGGCCCAGAGATCGCCAGGGTTCTTCCTGAGCTGTATGATGGGCAGAGAATTCAGACAAGACTGCAAACTTCACTTAAGAAATCTACTGGATACAAAAAATCATGGACTAAATATAGACATTGGATTTATGGCACATTATAACCTGCCTGCCATCTGATAAACCCAGGTAATCTGTCTGCATTTACCAACTACATTTTATCACCTTCCCCCTCCCCAACAACTACCTTTTCACACCTATTATCTCCCATTCCCTTTGAACCTTACCGCCATGCATTTGCATTTTCACAGACCTGCATTTTGCATTTTGGCTTCTATTCTACCCAGGAAAGCACAGAAATAGTAAGACTTTCCCTATGCATGAAGAAGGGTATTTGTGACCGAAAGCTTGCAAAAAACCCAGTTTTTCCAACTATTTAGTTGATCTAATAAAAGATACCACATCTGCTCAAAGAACTTTGCCTGCCTGAGCTTTCTCTGCTTTTAGCGACTGATCCAAATCCCATCAAAGTCAACGTAAAGGCTTCTGCTTCCTCCAATAGGCTTTGGGGCAGGGCCTGAGCAGGTGGATCTCTGGTGCAAAGCCTGAAAGTGCTGTCCAGTGTTCAAAGGCAGAATGCTTCTCTCTCACATAGCACAGCCCCCTGACCTGGTCACTTGGGGAGAAGCCCTTTTGGCCTGGTATCCCAGGGAAACACATCGGCGATCTAAGGTCTCTGTTAATAGAGTTCAGTAGAAGGTGGGACTTCGTTTTGGCATTTAGTTCTGCCCCAAATCCTAGCAAAAAGCCCCGGTGGTGTACTTTTGCAGTAGGAGACACACCCCAGAAAGTCAGTTTGGAAACAGGAAAATGTTCGGTATTTTCAGCCAAAGTGAAACATGAAGGCATTTCTTCATTCATTCCTTCATTCACCTGTTTCATTTCAGTTTGTTGAACCAACAGGAAAAAATCTCCGTTTCAATCAGGATATCATACTGCATTTCCCTTTTGTTCTGAGTCACTTCATGGGAGTTGTAGGCGAGGTCTAACACCCTCATTCTGCATGATGGGCCAGCCTCCCTGACCAGACTACACCTCCGATGAGGCACCACACTACTCAGTCAGAGAGGATACTGCATTACATCGTGGGATATAAGCCTTGCCAGGGAGCCTGGTGAATAGGACAGAATGCAGACTGTGGGTGACCCAAACAGAAATGAAACATATCTCTATCAGCAATGCCAAAATGTTTAATTGTAATGGCAATCATGGAGCCTTTTTTGAAACATTTGAAGCTAAAGTTTCCTGTGGCATGAACTCAAAATGAAACTTTTTGAATCAGTTTAATGAATGGAGAGATTTCCATTTAGGACAAGCCAGCCCAAATCAGGAAGTTTTGTTACTGTTTTCCTGATGGAAAGTTGCAAAAGTTTCCACAAGGAAACCATCACTAACCAGCCCCAGCCTATGAGCTGATTATGTCAATAGACACACAGCTCTACCCACAGCTGCATGGGTGCTAGAGGGAAACTAAGCCATAGGACCCTGATCACATTTGGTCCCAGTTCTGAGTGAGCAGAGCCTGGCTTACTGGAATTCACTATTTCAGGTGGTCTCAGTGCAATGCTCAGCAGCTCCCACTGGATCTTCCTTTTCAAGCTGATCCAAAGTGGAAACACACAGGGGTTGAATCCATACAGACAAGAGAACAAGAACAGAAACCTCCCTGCCAAGTGCCAAAGCCTTGTGGCTCTCATTAGCCTGAAGTTTTGCATGACGAAGGAAGTTATAGCCAAAGAAGGCCCAAAGTCTTGAGACAAAAGGGAATATCCCATTTCTTCAGCCTGGTTCCCACACAGAGAGAGGCTGGAGAACTAGGCTTACTGTCGGAGGTGATGCAGGCCTCCAGCCCTTTCTGTTTGCTTTTATTTCAGCTGTAAATTAGCCTGAGCGAGGGATGAATGGCTTGGTTTTTAAAGAAGGATCTGAGGGTTGAGATAAAGAGACTTCCATGAATTGAAGGATCTGAGGAAACTTGGAGTATAGATGAGAGATTCTGCCAGAGTGAGATTCCCCACTCTTCTCCTCAAGTAGCCTCAGCAGGTATTTTTCAAAGAAGACTTCTGTCATTCTGGCCAAGCCAGTTGAAGATACGCATCACCATGGGAAGGATGAACATCTTTCACCACCTGCACCAGAGAAAATGCTACCCTTCTTCACTAAATAATACCCACAGGGAAATTCTCTCCTGAGCAGAAGATGGCACCAAATGCTTCTCAAGCAGGTGCTGTGATGATACCAGCTTCTTGTCAAGTCCTTTGGAAATGATTCAGTCAAGATGTGGGACCACCTGGAAAATCTCTGCCACTCTTTCTCCTCAGAGAGTGTTTTTTAGTTACTGTGGGCATGTCTATATGTGCCCCCAACTGCGCAGTTGTTACTGCGGAGTCATTTAGTACTTGTTTTAGCAAGCACTAAATGACTGACTGTGCAGTAACCACCGTTATTGTGCAGTGCCAGTGGCACATGGGTCATTTCTGATCCTACTGTGCAGTAGCAATGAGCTACTGTGATGCAGTAGCATCAGCGTCACAGTGTAGACATGCCCTTTAATTCATAGGAACAAAATTTCTGAGAACAAACCTGAGAAAAACACCTCAGGTTTCCTCCCATCTTACTTCCCCTCCTACCTCTAGGCCTGAGTCATGCTATTACAGTGAATGCTTTGCAATGTCCCAGAAATCAATGAGGCTGCCTAGGCTTGGACCCTACGTGTATGTGTCCATGGTGATGGAGGAGTGGGTAGAAGGTCTGCTCGTGACATGGCCAGTTTGGCAGATACAGGCCAGTCTTGGGTTCTGCTCAATGCCAAGAGCGAGGCTGCTCCCCTGGGGTCACTGAGACTGAGCGAAAGCAAACAGGGCTTCACCTGCTGGTCTCACCTTGGTAAGCTTGGAGTGAAGTGACTTGTAAAGGGGGAAATGATGCAGGTGAGGAGGGCGGGGGTGGTGTTGGCGGAGGGGAGGAGGAAGGCGGAGTGGGGGTGAACCATGATAAAAGAAAAGCATACGTACATCCTGCTGTTTTATGACCAGGTTGCTGTGGCTGTGCCGACCGTTCTGGGCGCTGCCCTTATGCCCGTTCTGGTGTGGTGTGGCCGAGCGGCTGTGGCAGGTGCCAGAGGAGGACGGGCTCCGGCTGGAACGGTGGCTGCTGGCCTTCTGTCCGTCCTCCCTGTGCTTGGGGCTGAGTCTGCGGGAGACAGTGGATGATGGGGTGTGACATGTGACTTGGGGCCAACTCACAGGCGATATGGCAGGCGTGGGAACAGGGAGGGTGTGAGGGGCTGGGTGGAGAGGCAGGCAGCATTTTGGCTGTACTTGCTGAAGGCCAGTGTCTCAGTTACTTCCATTTCCATGTAGCCATATGAGTGCACATACACATAGACACAGACATGGATGCAAGCATCTGTGGATATAGGACAGGCCTGAGTCTGATCTCAGTCATCACACTATATAATGTGGTAATTCTGCTGCTGTTTGGGGCACAGTCAGTCCAACTTTATAGACCAGGTTTCCCAAACTAGGAGATTGGCTTCAGTATCATGACATCTCTTTCTTCTTTTTTTAAATAATACCATTGGGGAATTTTCATTTGGCATCTAGTGTTTGCACTTCTGGGGTCACATTTCCAGATGTTTCTCCATAAACATGTGGAGCTCACATGTTTACTTTTGAATGTCATGAATTTGCAGGGTCTTTAAGAAGAAGCTGGGTCTTTAAGAAGAAAATGCCTCATATGGTGTGAGGGTTGGGCTGATTTTGTGAGGGTTAGTAATGTGTGAGATCCAGTGAGAACCAGTCCCTGCGCTCACAGGGGGAGCCCTGTGTCATAGATGGAGAATATGAGGAGTTGGGTGACAAACCCACACCTAGTGCACCTGGTCCATGCCCCCATTCCCAGTGCCCACCCTCAGCAATTCATATACCCATGCCTGGAGATGGGTCAAGAGTCCTAGGGGAAACCAAGCCTACCTGCTGGGAGATTTGGAGTTGCTGTAATCTGAAGACAGTGAAGCACTGTGGGAGCTGCAGCTGCTGTGTCTGTGGGACCTTCGGGCAGGAGAGCCACTATGGGATCTGCAAGAGACAGACAAGGGAGGAGGGAGAAAAGGAGGGCCCAGTCAGAACTCCTGATCTCACAGTACTGGCCCCAGAGTCAAACTGGGTCAGTAGAAAGAGCACCTCTTTGGATCAGACCCAGCAGGAGAGGAAATGGGAACCCCTAGAAGGTTTCTCCCTGGGAGGGTGGCAGTTTGCAGCAACATATCTGCCCCTGGGGGAGCCAGGGAACAGGTGTGAGAACCTCATTCTAGTGCTGGTGCTAGATGGACTTGCCTCCATCCTAAACTCAGCAAGGTACTGCAGGACCTTTGACTGCCCAGTCCAACAGGGTGCTCAGGAGGAGCCTCTAACTTCCAGACCCAACTAGACATTGGAGAGTTCCCTCATCACCAAGCCCAAAGATGCTGGGTGGAGACCCCAGCTCCTTGTCTCACCAGGCTGTTAGGTCTCCCATCTCTACTGGGTAGAAGAAAGAGCTTTTTTATCATCAAAGCACCAGCCCCACCAGAAGAACATGGTGCGGTGCCCAGAAATCCATATTCTACTAGTGTGCGATGCCTTTGTAAACCTCAAATTCCCACTGTCAATGTAGAGGTGGGAGGGTCTCTGCATCCCCCACCCTCTTGTATCAAGTGTCCCCTGGGCCTCACATTTGGAGCCTCACCTTTTTCTCTCTTTGTTTTTTTCTTTCCTTTTGTTCTTGGGGCTTCTGGACCTGCGGAATAGCAGAAGACTGAAAACACAGATGTTACAGTGCACCCAGCCCTGAGACTGTGGTGTCCAATGGGAGGAGGTTGTCTCCTAAACTACCATCCAGCTGGATAGCCTTAAACTATCTTCTCTTGGTGAAAGGGCTAACATTGAAGAGGAGGCAGCAGACTCCGTACTGGGACAAAGTCTCTGCTGCTTCAGTGGGGATGGCTCCAAAGGCATCTCACTCATTGGTGCTTTCAGGGAATTTGTCCCCATTACTCCCAAGATAATCATTGCCAGACACACTCATGGAGCACAATGACGGGGTGTCCTGCTATGGATCCAGAGCTTTGAGTTCATGCCAAAGGTCATCCCCTGTCGGCTCAGCTGTGCATGGGTACCTAGTCATTCTGGTGGGAGAGTCAAATTTGGCCAGATATGATGTAAGCCATGTCACTTCCTTGTGTGCTGCTGGCTACAGAAATGAGCATGCCTGAACCAATGGACTGCTAGTTTTGGGAGGAACCAATGGACTGCTAGGTTTGGGAGGAACTTTGAGATCCCCATAGGCTGGTGCATGCATGTGTCTTCTTGCCATTCCCTGATGATTCCCATAGCATCCCCAAGAATCTACTTTTGTTCTTGCTGAATCCAATCACAGATCTGACAAGCTCCCCTGTATCATGGGGGAGTTCTGAGCTGGAAATGGATTCAAACCTCCTAGCAAACCTTTGAGGTTGCGGTTCAAATGCCCCTTCCCCAACTCCAATTGCAAAACAACTTCCTCCACAGCAAAGTAACTTTGTGCCGGGCCCTCTGAAACCACCTGGTGACCTCAGGCCCATATCTGAGGGGTCTCTCCATCACTTGCAGCCTGTACAGTGAGGTGAGAAGCCTTTCTGAAAGCCATTCTAGCTTCACCACAAGGTGTGGGTTAGATGCAGAATGACAGGCGAGGCTCTTGCTGGTGTTATGCAGAGGACCTGACTGATGGCCTACACCAGCCTTAAAATCTGTTATCTAAACCAGCAGTGGCCCCTTAATCTTTCTCATGGCTCAGTCCTATGATATGACTTGTCCCTCATCCTATGACCCTCTGCTTTATGCACTGTACCATTCTCTGCAGCTCTGGTGGTTTTTTCCTCCTACACTACAGGGACAGTTCCTCCACCAGAGGGCACCACAGTAACAACATACAGGCTAAGCAAAAGCATTCAAGGAGCCACACTTAAAAAAGCTCCCCATCTGCTGTAGGAATGAAAATTGTTCCTCTTTAAAGCACAGGGACAGGGGGCTGTAAGGACTTAGAACAGGGCCTGCCCTGCAGAGCTCAGGGGAGGGGCTACATTGAAGTGGCAAACATGGGCAGAGCTTATAGGCAGCTCAGGATTGGGCCCACCTCTATTCATACCAGGTCTGGACTCTGAGCAAATACAAGGGTTGGCTTTTCCTCGCCCTCTGTCATCCAGTCTGGGGCAGAGGGGATATCTTCCTTTCCCTTGATGGACCTGAATGATGTGCTTGGGGCCCCCTGGAACAAAGCCTGGGCATGGCATGTTGGGACTTGAGGGCAGGTACTGGGCTTCAGCAGGCCAACCCAGGAGACACGGCACCAAGCTGGCACCTCTTTGAGGTCCTGGTGGAACAGGGTTCAGTGAGGGAAGGAGATGAGAGCTGGTATGACGATGGAATAGAGGGAGTGGGGCTAGGGCATCCTGCTGGATTTCCTTTGCCTCTCACTACATGCCAGCGTCACCTGCTGCAAATGATTCTGCCCCTCCCTGCATAGCCCTGATACCTTCAAACAGCCGAGGGGCAGGGGGCTCCACTTGGCTCCTCTTGTCAGTGACCCCAGACATCCCCCTGAATGTCAGGCAGGAGAAAGCAAGCTCCGGTACCAGAGAGGAGGGAGGAAGGCACATAAGCAAGAGGTGACTGGGGCAAGGCGGGTGGTGAGTGGGGGTCTAAGGGGCAGAAGCAGCGAGGAAGTGCGGCTCTTGCCTCATTAACTCTCACCTGTGTCTTCTCTTCTTCCGGGATCCAGACTCAGACCTGGGAGAGGAACAAGAGGGAAACAGGAGACTGGCTGAGATGAGCAACAAGGGATTCAACCTTGCCGCTTACTACTAACTGCGAGGGCTCCTAAGAAAGGATGTCTTCATCCCAGAAGTGGAGGGAAGGAGGCCAGTATTTCAGTGGTGCATCCATCCACCCATCAATCTATCAATCTAGCTAGCTCTTCTTGGGCTGAAAGGTGGAGCCTGAAGGTGTTGAGGACAGCCACTTCTCCTCAGCCATTGGAGCCTGAGCCATGTGAGTCACTGTGCGCAGCAGGTGTTCATCATCCAGTGCTCCCAGGGGGCTTTCCTCAGGGATTCAGGGCCCATTTCTCCCTGGCCCCAGCCTTGGGATCTTCTGCTTGCTGAGTCTGGCACGTGGGCAGACTCAGAGACAAACTAGGAGGCAGGGAGAACCCCAGTGTACACTGCAACCCATTTCCTGACCTGGGGTGCTCTGCCCTCCTCTTGAGGAGCTGGTGTTTGGCTATAGAAGTGGGCAAGTGGAACTGATCCTTTTATCCCTGGCAGTAGAGGCTCATACTATACATCTCCCATGGGTGGCAGGTTCAATGCCTGCTCCTAACTGCCCACTGTGGGATGCCGCAGCCTCACTTCTGTATGTATCACAGCTCCCCACATCTTGCCTCCACCACAGGAGGTGTTATTCCCAGGAATGTGCTGCCTGCCCTGGGTGGCCGCTGACCTTCCCATTTCCCCATTTCCAAGGCCTAGGGCAGGTGGGGGTGGCTCCCAGCACCTCCATCTGCTGCAGCATCTTCCTTGGATCCATCCCAATCACTCTGTGAACTATGGGCTATTCAATGCTGTTCATTTATCAAACCTGGTTGACACCCAACCTGGGCTGGGGCAGACATGGGATGACTTCATTACTGGGGACGGGGGTGGGGGGAGGTTAGGGGCAAGCGCTGAGCTGGGATCTGTGCTGTGGCAGAGACAGCGGGCAGCCTGGGCAGATGCTTTGTAAGCAGCCGGCTGGTTGCCATGCATTATTCACAGCCATTGGTATCTGCAGTGCATCACTGACTTCAAACAGGCTGGCCGCTACTGGATTCATGCTGGGCTCCAGCCAGCCCTGCTGTGAAGCCATGGCATGGGGGAAGGGAGGCAATCGGGCCCATGCTCTTGCTCCCTGTCCCCTCCCACCACTCTCCCTGCCAAAGCCAGTGACAGTATAACCTTTTCTGCTTCCACCTGGTCTTGGCCCCTGTCTACTTGCATTAGCTGAGGGGGTGCATCAGGGCCCTTGACTCCCACTCCCACTCCAGCCTAAGGGAACAAAGAAGAATGGGGCTGCAGCCTGGGACCAGCCAATGAGGGGAGACTGAAGTCCAAGAGGGTGGACAGGGATGAAGGGATCTGTGGGATGGATGAGATGCGCGGCAGGACAGTGCTGGCCTCAGCTTTACCTGTCTCGTCTGTGCTTCTTCCCAGCCTTCTTCTTCTTCTCCTTCCGGACTGGTGAGGAGCTGTCCCCACTGCAAAGCAAATACAGGGGTGGTGAGTGGGGATGGTCAGGGTTTGGGCAGGCAGAGGCTGAGGGGCAAACACCCCAACACCTAGTACCCAGTGGGTCCCTCAACCCCCTCCTTTTGAACCCAGCATGGGGCTCTAGAAGAAAGAACACCCTGGCCTGAAATATCTAATCAGCCTGAGATTTCTCCAAGTGGCCTAAGGGATTAGGACACCTCACTGATATAGAAATTTTTTTCTTGTGGGCTAATAATTTGTTAAAATGTTGACTAAGAAAATCACTAAAATTTATTTTTTTTTCAACCCGTTTTAACCAGTTCTAAATCATGCTTCCTGTTCTGTCTCAGTGCTGTCTTGTGGGGGCAGTGGGATCTCGTGGGAGTTAGGCCAGAGAGAGGGCTATAGGCCCAGTTATCCTGATCTGTATTCTAAGCCATAAATTACCTCAGACTCTCCATCATGGGCCAGTCTCAGTATGCCTGGTGAGGACACGAAGGGGTTTGAGCTAACAAGAGCCCCCACAGTCTGCAGTCTAACAGCTCCTATATCCAATCTTAAATGAGATCCAGATTTTCCAAAGAGCTGGAAGCAGGATTTCCCAGAGTGCTCAGCCCTGGCCCATTGAAGTCAAAGGTACAGCTGCCTTTTGCAGATGCAGAAATTTGCAAGTGGGACACTGGGACCCAGCTGGGATAAATCAGCAGTGCTTTGCTGACTTCCATGGAGCTGGATGGATAGAGCCAGCTGGGGGAATGGCTCCCAACCCAGCATGTTGCTTGTTAAAGGAAACTTTTGCTGGCAGGGTCTGCCATGCTGTTAGAGTGAGCTGGCTGCACAGAAGGATCTCACCTGAGCTCACTTAGAGCACAGACAACAGGAAAGATTCCCAAGCTTCAGCATGGGCTGGTCACATCCCTATGCATGGCTGAGACTTGTGAAGTCTGATCTGCCATCTCTCCCTGCCTCACTGCCAGGAGCTGGCTGGGCTAGAGCTGGCTCAGCATTTCCTGTCCTTGCCATCTCTACTTGCGGTATGGACATTGCTTTAGACCCCCTGGAGCAGGCTGCATGTACCCAGCTGCCTCTGCTCCAGGGCAGAGCCAGGCAGAGAGGCAGCAACCCCAGCAGCAACTTGATGTCAGCTATAGGACTAGGCAATATCTACCCCATTTCTGGGATAACTGGGCATGTTCTGACCACAGTGTCAATTGGGTAAGTGCAAGGCAGAAGCTGCGGAAAGAACTCAGGGTTTGGAGTTACCTGGAGCCAAAGAAACTCATCCAAAGATGCCTGATGCTGGCTCCTCCCCACCCAACCCACCCCTTTGGCAACCCACTGGGGCAGCGCGGGGTTCTGCCGCAGCACTCACCTGCGCTCGGAGCCAGGTTTCCTCTTTTTGCTGCCATTGCACCCCGGGGACGGCAGAGAAACAGAGAACCCATGTTAGTGAAAGCATCTGCCTGCTGGGCAGCCAGCCTACAGCCTGCATGGGGTGAGCACAGGGACCAGGGTGGGGCTGGGACCAGGGCAGAATCTGGGCTCAAGAGGGCTCTCACTGTGGGGCTCAGCCCTTGTATAGGGTCTAAGGACCAAATCCTGCCCGCATCAGCATCTCCACACTGGCAGGGGGGAGGGAAGGGCTGAGCTGGATGTCTGCATGCGCCCTCCCGTCACGGTGACTGTGTGATCGTGCATCTCTTAATGACATAATGACATGTGCAGATTATCACATGCACTTACACTAATTGCCTCATTAAGACATGGCATTGCTGAGCAGGGAAACATGACTGGGCTGGTTGGATCCCGTACACCGTGAAGGGAAAAAATAAATGAAATTTGCAAACATACCCAAGTGCCCATCAGACAAACTGGGGAGGAGTGGGGGGCAGTGGTGGGGGAAGGGAGAATGCACTCAAGGTACGAGAGCCTTTGATGTGCTGGGCATTGCAGGCAATCCATAGCTTCCAACCCCCCTTCCCCCACTCCATGCTGGGTCTCTTGCTCTTAGTCTGCATTTGAGCCTCAGTAGCCATGTCTACTCGAGCATTAATGCACTTTTTCTAATGCTCATTAAATTTAGTACCTCCAATGTGAGGTACTTAATTAATGTGCGTTAATGTGCACTTAATGTGCCAATGCACAGTAGCACATTTGCATGCCTTTTCAGTTACACTTAATGCACAGTAGACAACTTTATTGTGCATTAGCATAATGTCATGGGTTTTTATGTGATGCTGTAATGCTCAGTAAAATATACTGAGCATTAAATTGCATGTGTAGATGCGCCCAGTGTGTGTGTGTAGGCCAGAAAAAGGATGTGTGTCCTTATGCTGTGTGTCTGTCTGTCTGCCTCCATGTGTGTCAGCTATGTGCATGTGTCTGCTGCTAGGTATGTTTCTGTCTCCTTCATCTTTATGTTTGTGCATGTGTATGTCTACCTACCTCTGTTCTTTGTGTGTCTGTGTGTGTAGTGTCTGTCTCTCTCTATGTGTCTGCACAGGTCTCACTCCCTGTGTGTCTCCAGATGTCTGTGCACAACTCTCCTTGTGTGTGTCTGTATGTGTCTTTCCATTGTAACCCTCACTGCATGCCTCTGTGCGGTGTGGCCCTCTGTGCATGTCTCACTATCTGCTGACCTGTGCATGGGTGGGATGGAGATGCAGATCTCAGGATGGGATCAATCTGTCTGTCTGTCTGTGGGTGTCTGGCTCCTGGCTCCCAGCCTGGGCAGCAGCATCATCTAGTCCGACCCCCTGCCATGGCAGGAAAGAGTACTGGGGGTCAAACGACCCCAGCAAGATGGTCATCTAACCTCTTAAAAACCCCCAGGGTGGGAGCCTGCACCACCTCACTTGGAAGCTGGTTCCAGACCCTAGCCGCCCTGACCGTGAAGTAGCGCCTCCTGATGTCCAACTTAAACCTTCCCTCCGCCAGTAAAGCATTTAGTGACTTTTGAGTGCTATATAAATACCAAATAGCACAGAAAAGATACAAATGGCACGCAACCGACTGTCAGTGCAGCAAATTAAGCTTCTGTTTATAGCAGGAGTGTAAATATAGGGTTAACGGTTAATTCATTTAATGATGAATGTGACACCACTGTGTTATCCTGTAAGAACGTGAATAGAGATTTGCAGCAGACAACATGCTGTGAGCCCAAAAGAATAGGAAACTACTGCCTGCTTTTTTTAAAACTATTGCAAAATGTGGACACAATACTTGGACATAATAGACTGTGTCTGACAACATTTGTACAGTATGTAGCGGAGTGAGCCCCACTCAGCTTCCTATAGTTATCCATATATAGTGACTAAAATTGCAGACACTGAATTAACTCTGAATAACATATGAGCTGGAGTGACAGCCTTCATGTGGTTCTAGAAGGATGAGAATAAGATAGATGGCTGTTTGTGTAGATGTACTAAACTGCAAATCCAGGGGTCCATAGAGTATGGAAAATATGCCAAAAGCTGGGTTGTCCCTTCCATCCCACAGACCCCATTGATTTCCTGCAGGGCAGGAATCCCCCCTTGCAGAGCAGCTTGCAAGATCAGGGTAAATCCATTTCTAGTAACAGACTTTCTCACGCACCCTACCCACTACATTCACGTTTCTCCACTTAGCCCACCTTGGCATCCTTCTGAACCCTGTTATTTTTCAAAACTATTTGGAGAATAGAGAGTGAGTTCTGAATGCCAGCAAGCAACTCTGCCTCTACTGAACCAAGCGGAGAAAGCAGTTGCACTTGAATTTCCCAATTGCCAATTCTCCTTTTTCCTTTCTAACACCAGAATGGAAAGAGCTTTTAGCAAAACTCTCTCTCTAACTTTAGCGGCTGCTCCAGTACCATATAAGGAGACGGGCCATTTCCAAGATCCAAAATATTGAGGGTTTCAGGAGGTTGAGAAAATGGCGAGTTCATATTTATACAGAAACAAGTGGTATGTCAATCCAAATCACAGAACCCGTGCAAAATGCACTCTCTGACAGGAACGCCGCTAAGCAGCGGCGTTCAGCGCCTCGTTTTTAGGCAATCGTCAGGTAAAGCTCCATCTAGAATAGATTGAACTAAAGCAAGATGACAGGAACTGGGAACCCCCAAATCCGAAAGAAATAGCTTTAGGGATGAAAAAGGAGAGTGTGTAAATAGCAAAAGTAGAGGTACCACATTTTGGAGCCAATTGCTTTAGAGAATAAGTGTGTTTTTAAAAACGGATTAAAATAGATTTCTGCAATGGAGGAGCAGGGAGTGCACAAACATTTTTATTTTTGCTCTCAAGCAAATCCCGGGACGTCATTCTCCCCCTGTACTCGGCCTTAGTGAGGCCGCAGCTGGAGTACTGTGTCCAGTTTTGGGCTCCACAATTCAAAAAGGATGTGGAGAAGCTTGAGAGAGTCCAGAGAAGAGCCACGCGCATGATCAGAGGTCAGGGAAGCAGACCCTACGATGACAGGCTGAGAGCCCTGGGGCTCTTTAGCCTGAAAAAGCGCAGGCTCAGGGGTGATCTGATGGCCACCTACAAGTTTATCAGGGGTGACCACCAGCATCTGGGGGAACGTTTGTTCACCAGAGCGCCCCAAGGGATGACGAGGTCGAATGGTCACAAACTACTTCAAGATCGTTTCAGGCTGGACATAAGGAAGAACTTCTTTACTGTCCGAGCCCCCAAGGTCTGGAACAGCCTGCCACCGGAGGTGGTTCAAGCGCCTTCATTGAACACCTTCAAGATGAAACTGGATGCTTATCTTGCTGGGATCCTATGACCCCAGCTGATTTCCTGCCCTTTGGGCGGGGGGCTGGACTCGATGATCTTCCGAGGTCCCTTCCAGCCCTGATGTCTATGAAATCTATGAAATCTATGAATCCTGACCCCTGCATGAACACTGATGCAGCACCCAAGCTGCACCTGGTAGAACAGCTATGATCTGGCACACTCTGCCACCTGGTGGCAGCTGGCTGGCATGGCATGCCTGAGGTTTTAGGCCATTCTCCTACTCTGGGGTCACATTGGTGGCAGGGGGATGGATGGGGAGTCAGACTTAATGGCAAGGCAAATGTGCAATCCCTGCTAGCAGTCCTGCAGGTGGAATGATTCACTCCCTCTCACCCCACATCTCCAAAAACTTGTAACGAGTTTTGGACAAGCATGGATTCTGGCACTTGACCTATTCAGTGAGTCAACTCAGCTCTTAAAGTGGGGGTGGCCTACTGATTTCTAGGGCTCATTCACCACGTCAGAGCTTGAAGAAGGGGAAATGCTATGCCAACCTCCCTTAGCACCTATCCATCTGCCTGCCTATCTGTTCACCTATCTGCTTTGCCAAGATGCTGATACCCTCTGTCTCTCCCCTGAAGAAGATGTATGGACACAGGGATCCTGGCTGGGCACTGCTGGGGCCCATCATCTGCCTGCCCTGGCAGCATTGTCCTGTGTGATTTTTAGAGTAGTGCTCACAGTAGGTGTCTCCTGGCAGCTCCACCAGCCAGGGACACCAGGTCTGTTTCCCACTGCAGTGGGGAGGTATAAAGACCATGGTGCTGGCAGGGCATTGGCTGTGGATACCACTGCCAGCTTGGCAGAGCTGGGGGAACTGAGTCTGGCTCCTGACAGGGAAGAGGGATGATGAAGTATGTGGAGCAGCTTGAATCACCACAGGGAGGAAGCCATCCCTACTCCACAGGGCCCACTCAAGGCATCTCTTCCCAGCTCAACACCATCTCCTGCTGCGTGCAGATCCCAGCAAGATGCAGAACTCATGCCATGCCTCGGCACCAGCTCCTTAGTGCTGCCTGCTCAGCTCTGCACAGTCATCAGTGGGCTCACACACTGGGAAGAAGCTGTGCAGAGAGAGGAATGGGACGTTCCGCAGACAGCGGGCAGGGGGTCGGGGGGCAGCAGTGTCACTGTGGTGCCAGCAGCTCAGACTTTCCTTTTCGCAAGCTCCACACCTCAGCCGGCTGGGTGCCTCTGTGGAAGCAGAGGTAGCACAGCACAGTGCTACTGGGCCCAAGACCTTGCCCCTCCACCTGGGAGTGAAGCAGCTGGTGGGTTTTCAGACTGGGAGCAGCATGGAGGTGGAACTGCCCTGGTAGGTCCATGGGCACCAGCAGGGGCTGCTCACTTACAGCATGCACCCACACGCAGTGTGGGGCCAGGCCAGGGCATGGCCCTGCTCTCCAGCCTGGGCCATTTCTCTTGAGCTTTCCCATCCAGGGCATTCTGCCCATTTGCTACCCAGTTGCACCATGCTGGATGCTGAAGCAGGCCCTTCCTGCAGGTGCCAGGTCCAGCACTGCCATGCTACAGCCTCCCTGCACCTGAGCCACCCAGCAGTTTGCAAACTGTAAAGTGAGGGTCCGTGACTCCTGTTGTGCTCCACCTTTCCTCTGCCAGAGGCCCTTCCCCCAGTTGGCTTTAGGTCACCTGCACCCCTGCAGCTGAGCATGGGGGAGCTCCAGGCAGCTTCAGGGGATGACGTGGGAGCTTAGGAGATGGATACAGCAAGGACAGGCCTGTGCTGAAGCTCTGATTAGCTCCTGCAAGTCGGGGGTGACCTCAGGTTAGAGGGATGAGCAAGAGTGGCAAGACTTCATTGTAAACCAGTCTCTTGAGGGGACTGCTACCCCCTCCTTGCAGAGCAGGCCACCTGAGGCACACGACTTGCCTTGCCCAGCTCCCCCTGCCCAGCTCTGGGGCTGGCAGGGAGGGTCAGGGGGTGTCCAGGCCACTCACCGGCTCCGGCGATGCCCTGATTTCTTTTTCTTTTTCTTCTTAGGTGGGGGAGAGGTGGAGCTGCTCGACCTCCTCTTCAGCCTGCAGCAGGGAGAGATGAGAGGAGGGTAAGGATTAAAAATGCAGCTGCAGATGCCCCTGCCCAGGCCTCATGCTGGCTGTATTCCCCAGCACCACCCTGGGGAGTGCCTATGTGGAGAGACGCAGGCCACTGGCTTTGGAAGCAGGAGTGTTTGGGACTGGGGGCATGTGAGCACATGCTGGGGTAGGGGTGGACAGGGGTGTGTTTAGCACTCTGCAGGCCTGGAGCCATGTGCAAGGGGCTGGGGCATGACTGTGACAAGGCCTGGATACAAGGGCCTCACCGGCTTCTGCCTCAGCATGACTAGGACCTACAGAGCTGGGCCACGCAGCAGGCAAGCAATGATGGCAGCAGGCTGGCCTGTGGGCTCTCTGTGGGGCACAAGTGCAATGAGACAGATGGTAAACCTTCAACCTGTAGGTGAATGGACCTGCCCTACAGAGGGATCATGCCTGCCTGTCCCTGCCACACTGTAGGGCAGATCCAGTGGGGCTGGACGCCTGCAGGGTGAATAAGGAGTCAACCTTTCTCATCTCTGAGAGCAAATTGTTTTTAACAGCAGCAGCATTTGCCAGCACTGGGAGAGCAGGCCCCGGGGCTCAGCACAGGCCAGCAGAACAGCAAACACCTACGCCAGGCCGGCCAGGCTGCTCCAAGCATGGGTAAGCGACTTTGTGGGAGAAGGATGAAGCAAGGAGCAGCCAGGCTCATGTCCAGGTGGTTTCCATGTGTCTGCCACAGGGATATACTGGACGCATCTACATGTTTGTTAACGCACTTTTGCTAATGTGCATTAAATTTACTGACTGTGTTGTGAGGTACTAGAAAAAGGCACATTAGCCTATTTTAATGCACATTAGCAAAAGGGCACTTTTTGTGGCACTTAAAACTCATTAAAATAGGTGAATGTGCATTAAAGTGCACATGTAAATGCACCCAACTGAGAAGCAGTCTATAGCAAACAGGCACCTGCAGCGATGTAACACTGCCTGGTTCATTCATTGGCCCCAATGGTGAGCTTGGCCCACTATGTTCTTGATGCCTTGTAGTAATTAATGGACCTGTACAAATCGTGCCAGAAAACCAGGATTTGTTTTCCACTGGAAAGTCTGAATGGGAATCTGTGTGGGAAATAGTTTAATCCAATATTGTTGGGTTTTCCCACAAAAGCTGATTTAGGCTGCACATTTTCATTTCCATTAACATTATTTTAGTTTAAACAAAGTGATGTTTTAACTAGAAATGACCGGACACTGTTCAGTTTTCAGAAACTAAAAATCCCAAATGACACTGCAGGCCGGAACAAACCAAAAGTGTCTGTTTTGATATTTCCTCTGAGAACAAATTGATTTTTATTTAATGAGAACTGGCGTTTTCCTGCAAAAGAGCCCCCAAATCATTATTTTGATGACACTGCCATTTTCAGCAGG